AGAATTAGTAAATCAATAGTTTTCATGCTTAGCAGTTAGTTTCAATTTTAAAAAACGATTCAAAACCTCTTTTTCAAATATAATAATATAAGCCAGCAAAAAAAAATTGGACAAAATCAAAATTTACCCTGAGGGTTGCAGGGGAGTACTTTCATAATTAAATACATTTCATATCAATTTAAACAGTTTTTACAAAATAATCATAATTTAGGGCTGTAGAAATGCTAAATAAGCTGTCATTTTGCATCTTTGTGCAATCAATAAAATCTGAAATTTCAAATGTAAATAACTTGTCAGGATGTTGTAATCTAATTTTGATACTTATATTTAAGTGATCCACATAGTGTGGGCTATCATTCCACTAAAGGGTTTTTCCAAGTCAGAAAGTTAAGGTTAGAACCTGTTTTATAACACTGTTATATATGTTATATATGCTAAATTTTATTAACATGTCTTAAGTTGCATTTTTTCATAAGGTTTTAAATTTTCAGAACAATATGACAAGCTATGACAAGTTTTTGGTGTATGGTGAATATTATAAGAAAATTCGTGATCGTTTGGTTGTTTGTATTTTAGAGGATAATCTGCTAAGTTTAACTCAACTAGAAGAGGTAAGGTTATTATTTTTGCTATTGCTAAAAGGTTTTATCAATTTTGTTGTTATTTTTACTTTAAATATCAATGAAATTATAAAAGTATAAATAAATATTTTGCTAATAAAAAATTATATTGCATTTTGGGTAAAAAACATAGATAAATAGTAAAAACATAGCATGAAAATAAAAAGATAATTAAATATGTTATGTATTTTAGGATGATGAAGACAAAACAAATGTGTTTCTTCAACTATCATTATTCAAAGGATTATCCAATCTTCCTGTAAGGAGGAATATTTATTATTATAGTCCAAAGTAATTTTTTTGTTTGTTTGTTTCACTGTTATATTGTAATATTTATATGTACATGCGGCTATAATTATTCTTTATCTTTAGAATCTTGCAATTCTTAAAAATAAAATAAAAATACAGGTAAAAAAAAAAACTTTTTTTAAAAAAAAATATCATTTCTTTAGTTTTGCTATATTATAACTAGCTAAATTTGATTATTTTCACTATTCTATAACTAGCTAATTTTGTCTTTAGAAATGTTTATCTGCCATAAGAAGCTTTTCAACTTTAGAATCATATTCTTCAATTTTATATCATTTTTGGGTTGTTATTAATTCTGGCAATCCTTCTACACGTCTTTTTTTGCTGCTGGCTACACGACCACAACAAGTTTATGTTAGAATACATATACATAGTCTAAAATAATTTTTTTTGTACAGATATTAAATATTATATTTGTACAGATGTTAAATATTATTATATTGCATAAAATAATTAGTTAATAAATAGTTAAGAAGATAAACAAAATGAAAAGTTTTAAGGAGTACTTTTTATAATCAAAAAAAAAAGCTTTTAGAAAATTTGTTAACAGATTCAAATTAAGAATATGTTGCAGGAAATTTAAGGAAAATTTACAAGTAAATTAAAACAATTTACAAGTAAAATCATATATATCTTAGACTCATAAATATTAGAATACAATGAAGTGTGACAGCATAACTAATTATAGATATTTGCAATTACCTACAATTACAATAAAATTTATTTGTGATATTTTGATTTTTGGTGAAAATACAAAAAAAAAAAAATTCTTTTATTTTAATATAATGGTAGAGTGAATTCTTAAAGGCTTACTTATGATTATTAGACTTTAAATTTATTATTATTATTATTTTATTTTTATTGTTATCATATATTATGATGGTGCTTAAAACAGCATTGTTTAAAAGTTCCTTTTAATAAAAATCCAAAATGAATGAAGTGTTTTTTTCATTTTATGTATTAATGTTGGTTATTATAAAAAGTCTCCTTGATGTTCTAATTTTGTTTATTTTCATAACATTTTTTGATTCTTTTTTCTCCGTTATTTTTTTATTTAGATTTTATAAATATTTTTTTTTTTACCTCACAAATTTTTAAAATTTTAAACTTATTTTAAGTGTAAATAGGGTACATACCTCTTACTATAGGAGACCATTTTGACTAATATTGCATAGTTTTTGTTCTTTATTAGGGATGGTTTCTTCCTGCAATGCCACATGATAATTTATCAGAAATTTTTGGTTTAAATCGTAGTGATGATAGCAATTCCTTTCTATTTTATGGTAACCTTATTTGTTTAATATATATTATTTTATGCTGGTTTAATTACTATTTGTTTTTATATTTGATTTAAAAATCTATTTGAATGTTGTTTAGCCTGTCCTCGTGGTCATCCATATGTGATAACAAATGTAAGAGCCTAATTTCATATTTTATTCCTTTCATTGCATATTTAACTTCTTCGAGGTAAAAGCAAATATATAAAAAATTAGAATAAAATAAAATTTTAATAACTTTTAGTGTGTATGAGGCTTATTTCTTAAGATGTTATGATCTATGAGTCAAGTTCCTTGCTTATTAAAAACAAATAAAGTACTTAAAAATAATAATATAAAAAATATTTAAAAAAAAAAAAGCTTTTACTTTTTATATACATATGTATAACAAATTATGCTCAATATTTATACTTTACAAAATTATGATAATATACTTTGAATTATTTACATAATTACGCTCAATATTTATACTTTACAAAAACAACATTTGTTGCTATTACTAAAGTGATGCTACTCACAGTTCAGTTAACAACATTTTAAAATTTAAACCTTCATAATCAAAATATAATGTGAAGCCTAATGTAGTGCAATATACTTATGTAATATAAATTGTAATGTATTTATTGGAAACTAATTAATAAAGGTTTTTTTTTATAATGTTTTATACAATAAGCTTTTTTTAGTGTGGTCGACCAAATCAAACATATTTGTGTCCTGTTTCAAATTGTCGCTTAGCAATCGGTGGAGAAAATCATACATTGCTTCCCTCAAATAGTATTGTTTCTGCTAGGTATTTACTTGAACAAATATAATAAAATTTTAGTTACTTTTAGATTTTTTTAATGTACAAATTAATTAGCATAATATATACTTTATTTAGTTGATAAAAATATATAATTTATATTGCATATATCTTTTTCTTTAGATGCAAGTAAGAAACAAAACAAAACAAAAAAAACATAAAAAAACTAGAAAAGAAAAAAAAAAAGAAAAAAGAAAAAAAAACTAAAAAATAGAAAAATGATAAATTTAGTAAAATAATAATAATAATAATAACAAAAAAATACTTTTAACAACAAAAATAAATGTTTTTAAGTCTATAGTATTATGTCTTTTCAGATTTTTTAAAACAATTCTCAAAAAGTCATTTTTTCAACAGGCGTTTCATGAGCATTAAAAAAAATCTTCAATTATTTATACACATCAGAGTTGAATGTGCACATATAATGTGTATAAATGAATCTGAATGTGTGTGCGTGTGCACATAGATGCAAATGAAACATCACTGATAATACCATATTTAGGTATTTACTCTATTTTCACTGTTTTAGAATTCTTGATTTACTTATTAGAGTTGATGCTACAAAACCTGGTCATTGTTTGGGTCTAGCTTCAGAACGCTCAAATTTTTCTATTCCACAGCGTGAATTGACACCTTTGTCTGTTACACTTCAAAATTTATTAGTGCATCTTTCATTACTTGTTGCAACATTGACAGGTCATATAGAGGTATTTATAATTTTTTATAAAATTTTTACTCTATAAGAAACTCTATCAAATAAATTTCTAAAAATTAACATAAATTTTAGGATGTTGTGAGATTGGTGCATCCAAAAGTAAATTCAGATTCAATGCAAATGTTTCTAGTACAGCACATTGAAAAAGATCTTGCTTTATTATCTAATAGAATAGCAAAGAATAATGATGATACAAACTCTGCAGTTCACATTTTTTTTAAAGATCTACTATTAAATGATAAACCAGGTTATTTTACTAGGTTTATTTCTTAAGATGTTATAATCTATAATTGAGTCAAGCTCCTCGCTTATTAAAAACAAATAAAGTACCTAAAATAATAATATTAAAAAAATTAAAAAAAAAACTTTCACTCTTTATATACATATTATGCTTGTATAACAAATTATGCTCAATATTTATAATTTACAAAAACAACATTTGTTATTTTTTTAGCCTTTACCAGATTGTCTTTGTTTTACTATCAAGTTATATTTTGTTTTATATGTAGCATATTAATGTTTTTAGTCTAAAAAAAGTTTTTTATCAACTGATAAATCTATTGTTTGTAAGACTATCAATTTTTAATATTACATATTGCAATTTTTATTTATTTATTACAAATTGATCTAAAGTATAAAAAATTGATAAAAAATAAAAGATCTAAAAAACCTCCTGCATCTAGATGAAATTTTTTTAAAACCATAACAGGCAAAGTTACTTAACAGATAAACTTTTTTATCAACGTTATCAAGTTATTAAATGTTGGATTTTTTTGTTTCACTATTTAAGTATTGCAATATTGCTAGTAACAAATGAAATTTTAAATAAAATTTATAAATAAAATTAAAAATATATAGACTTTAAGTTTTGTATTTAAAGTATTTAAAGTTTTGATATATATTTCTGACTTTTTTGTTGGTTAAATCCTATCTACTCATCAAGAAACATCAAAGTTCATCACAATTAACCATTTAATGAAGCATTTTGATGAACCTGTTTTGTAAACTCAGAAAGAGTTTAAAAAAGATATATATATATATATACATATATATATATATATATATATATATATATATATATATATATATATATATATATATATATATATATATATATATATATATATATATATATATATATATACATATATATATATATATATATATATATATATATATATATATATATATATATATATATATATATATTTATATATATATATATATATACATATATATATATATATATATATATATATATATATATATATATACATACATGTATATTAGGGCGGTCCAAAAAAATGAAATTTGGAAATTCTGTTCTCCACAAGGTTTATCTTGTTTCATATAATATTAGAAAATTTCTGTAAAAATTTGAAGCCAATCAGACAATATTTAGGGGTCAATAAAAATTTTGACTTTTCATGCATACGGTCTTATACAGTCAAAAGAGTAAAAATTTCATTTCGTATTTTCATATTTTATTATTTAAAATTTTTAATGAAAAATTGTTATAACACTGATTTAGAAAGTATGACATAAGTAATGCGCCATCAAATGTCATCTATTGCGATCATGGCTGCCATAGAGGATGGGTAAATCTGGCGATGTAGCTGGAAAAAATAAAGCAGAAACTATTTTTGGTCCTCGTCTTTAGTGAGGGTTTCATATTTTTGGATAAGAGCAATGCCACGCTCTGCACTATCATGGACAACCTTCACCTTGTTGATTTGATCCTTCAAATTTTGGTAGCAAGTATCTGATTCTTATGTTTCTGGATCTTTCAACAGGAAACTCTTGGCTTCCTCCTTTCCAGTCTTACTTAGTACTTTGAAGAGACAAAATGTTCTTTGGGCACAAACTTTTCAAGATGATTAAAGTCTTCGCCACATGTGCTTATTCTCTTCAGAGCTGACTGAGTCTTTGGAAGCTGGAGGTTGTCTATCATGGCTTTTCACATCTAGAGGGACTCGGTTGTCAAAAAAAGCCAAGCTCATGAGGTGTTCTGAGAAGAACCACAGATGTTGAGTAAATACAGTGTAAGTTGCATCAGCAATGATATGGTTTGGATATTTCTTGAGAAGCCCAATCATCATTGCATCATTCAGGGGAGTGTATAAAGCCAGTGGAGCCTTGTGCCAGAAATGTCCATAAATAAGAGAAACAAAGAGCGCCAGCTCCTTCAGACCTTGCTTTTATTTAGCAGTCAATTCCAACTGATCTTCAAATAGCAACATTTTTAGAGAATAGATGGCCTTCGAAATCTACCAAGCATGATGCATCGCTCCTGGAGCTTGGAAGAAGTCCATCTTAAAACTGCTTCCACCGAGAAAGACAAGACATAGTCAAAGGAGCTTAAGGCTCAAGGTAATCCTCCCAAGGCTGCTCATCTCCATCCAAAGAGTTTCGGTATCCTTATTTAAGATTTCGTCTCTAGCTGGCGAATAGTCTGTTTGCCTGATGTATGGCCATTTCTTCTGAAACCTCTTTAAAAGACCAACTTCTGGTCCACCCGTCCTATCAAAAACAGCTGTGAAGACACTGCTCAGAACAACTTCTAGGACATGATGACGACATCTAATGTTTACAAGTTCACGGCCAATGACTTCCTCAATAAAAATGCATGTCCCTCTATGGATGCCTGTGTTGGGGGAAGTTGTATCAAATACCAAACCTTAACTTTTTTTTGTAGATCCTAGCTATATAGTACTTTTAAGCATGCAGCAGCCCATTTTCCCCCAGCTCCTTCTACAATTTTTATGACTAACAACAACTTCTTGATACCATTCCCAGCGAAGATCACAGCAACTCGATTGATGGTTTCTTTTGCACCAGCTATGTCCTGAAGCAGTTTCACATCCCAATGGAGAAGAAGAGGAAATTTGGTTGAAAAAGAACTCTTCTCTGCTTCAGCTACTTTTTTTCGGGTAGCCATTCGTGACCTTCTGATGGTGCTCTTAGACAGTGTCAGGTCGTCAAGAAGGTGGTATAAAGTCTTTGCTACTTAGGCAACAACATACATAGCTCCACAATCAGGAAGATTTACTCTATCTAAAGCCCCTGCAACTTCTGGAGTTGCTATCACACTTTTCAGTCATTTAGACTTTAAGGAAGGAGTTTGAGCAGATGATGATGGAACTCTGAAGTCTTCATTGTTGACATTGTCCTCATCTTTAGACTTAGAAGAAAAACTGATATACAAAGCAGGATCAGATGTTTCTATTTGATAATGCAATGCAACTTTTCTGTCTCTTTCGGTCTTCGATTTTCATAAGCTTCTATACTATACTTTGTCTCTTTCTCCGCAAAATTGCAATCCACTCCAGCCATGTTTGAACTGGTGATATCTTTTCTCTGCATTGTTAGGAATTGTCTCTCTTTATTGTTTGTCATGATGTTGAAAGCATTCTTTGTCGCCAAGTCAAAAAGCTCCATCAGGTCTTTGAACATTTGCTCTTTAAATCTGCAGCTTTCATATGCTTTTGTCCTATTGACCTTCAACAGTTGATATTCACCATACAACTTCTTTAGTTTTCTTTCACCAGAATCAATCCTCTAAGTTAGAATTCTTTCTTTGCTTCAAATCATATTTATATCTTTAATTGTGCGATTAATACTGTCCTTCACAGTGAGGTGTTCTTCAAGGTGGTGAAAAAGGAGGTAGCGGATGGCATCACCGTTTGTAGCCAATCTTGCTGAAGAGAATTGGTTGGTGGCCTTGCCAACAAGCCAAACTTCAGCAGAACTTCTTCTTTTAGCTGCCATTATGTAATTAAGTACCTGTGGATATAAAAGAATACTAAATAGTAAATATTGTCCTAAAATTGCTGTTCGTGAATATTATGTTCAATGTTCATTTTATTTTAAAAACAACAACAACTGTTTTAAGGCCTTAATATGTGACTGATGAATTGATAATATTACACTAATTCATTTAATAAACAATAGATTGTTAATTAACTATTCATGGTAACTAATTAATTGTAGTTATGTAATATGTGCATAAAGCAGCTGATTCAAATTTTAACCTTTTAAGCTTTTCTTCTATAGTCAGAATAAAAATACTATATTTGAAAAAGTTTAAATTTTTAAAAATTATTTGCTGGTGGCAAGATGTCTGCTGTTTACAAATTGCACAAAGAACTAGAACAATCACTTTGTATGGTGTTCCAGAAGAGCTGTTCAGAAAAACAAAACTAAAAATTATGTATAAACACTCAACAATGTGATTTCTGCTACTAACATGCTGTAAAATTAGGTGCTTGCACAAAATGTTGAAATCCATTGACCCCTAAAATTGCTTAAATTGGTCCAATTTTTTGCATGGTTATTCCTTATATATAGTAGAACAAAGTTAGCCTTGTGGAGAGTGGTTAGAATCACTTTTAATTTTTACTATGTAATTCTGAACCACCCTAATGTATATACCAAGGGTGTGGAGTCATAAAAAAAAAAGTAAGGACTCCGACTCCAGTTGTTGAAATTTTTTGAGTACAACTCCGACTCCAGTTGTTGAAATTTTTTGAGCACAACTTCGACTTCACAACTCCAAAGCAAAATTTTTGAAAAACTCTTTGAATTCTTTAAAAAAATATTACGCGTTAAGTTAAAAATTTCTTTTTTGACAAATTTATGAAACGTTCTTTGAGGTTTATTATGAACATAAAGTTAATTGAATGTTTTGTACATGCATGTGCAATACCGAGAAGTTTTACTATTGGAGTCGTAGTCGCAATTTTGTTTAGCAACTCTGACTCCGAAGAAAATGTCGCAACTCCGACTCCAACTCCACAGCCCTGGTATATACACAAACACACTAAGCAAGAACAGCTGCCTGTTCTAGCAAGAACAGATAACTGTTTAGAATAGACTTGTAAAATTACATGTGCTGGAGTGTATAAAGCTTCCCACAAAAGTTTTAGTCAAAATATTAATTTCAACAGTCTTTTCTATTGTTTTTTTTTTTTTTTTTAATTCAAAAAAATCATGAAAATGAGTTAAAATGATTTTTTTATTTTTAAATAAAAAATAACTTAGTTTACACAATATTATTAAGATAAAATAGTTGAAAAAAGTACTTAAAAAGTTAGTTACATAATCATAGTTACAAAATAATTTTTTGCATAAAAGTTTCAACGACTTCAAATTAAGAACAGAAAAATGAAAAAAAAAAGGTACAAATCTCATAATTAAATTGTTCTTGTTTTGCTTGATAGCAAAGACTTATCTCTGCATTGATTTAATCAGTCTTATACCCATTTCACATAGAATGGAATGGTTTCATACACATCTCACACGGCATCTTAAACCAAGACTCATTAAAAAGGTTTTTTAAATGTCTAGTTGATTGAATTTGATGGTTTAACATTGAGCATAGAGTCATATTTTTGATAAAGCTTAAGATTTGGTAATCTAAGGCATATAGTGATCTTTTTTTGAATTGAACCAGTATGTTATACAGTGTGCTGAGTATGCTGGAGCCCCCTCTTTCTGGAAGGTGTATTGTATGGTTTTGTTACACAATTGCCTTATTGATTGAATCAGACATGATTAGAATGTATTTCTGTTAGTATATTGATTAATCCAGTTGTTATACTGCTCACATATAACAAGAACTTTTTGGGAAAATCATCCTTATTTCTCTGTTAGTTGACTTGTTTTTATATAGTGTTTGCAATGTTTTTCAATTGTAAGTCTTTTAATATTGATTCTTCTCTTTAAAATTTTGAATTTAAAAATTTTTATTCTGAACATTAAATCGCTTTTTTCTAATTTTGCACTGCCCAATCAAAACATTCTTTGTATTATTTTTGATTTTTGAATCCACCCATGACCTAGTCAAAATGGGTTTTCTTATTGCAATGATAGACCCTATACCTTTTTTGTTAACATTCTTCTAAGAGTTCTCTGCTTAGAATTCATTCTAAGAGTTCTCTGCTTACATTTTGATTAAAAAACACTGGTAAATAAAATATATATTTGAGCTAACTTTTATTGTTGAGCCTAGGATTGGTTCTGCTGGTTCTGAATATGCTGCTTTTGTTACGATTAACAAGCTTCAACAGTTATCAAAAATGAGACATGTTGATGACATCACCTCTCAGCTTTCAGTTTTTTACTTTTTTTGCACATAAAGTTCAGAAACATCTACAAATTCATTCCAATGTCGCTATGATTTTTTTTGATTTGAAAACTCTGGTGATTTGCTAATTTATGTTCTCTAATTGACACTGATTTAAACTTTAAATAATTTAAATAAACACTTGACACTTGACAGTAATTAAAATATTTTTTTGTAAAGTTTAAGTTATTCTTTGAGTTGATTTTAAAGAATGTTCTGTAATTGTATCATTATAGAAGTAAAGTCTTCTTGGTGGGCCTCTTGGGAGCTGAATTTATTTTTTAAAAATTAGTATCTACGTTAATGATTTTTTTTAATGACAGTTTTTAATATCTAGACAACATAATGATGGTTGACTTAACAAGTGTGCAAATCAGAAATCAATATGAAAATGCTTTTGATCGAAAATTTATTCAACCCTTTTTTAATGTAAATTTTTGTATTCTTTTTAATTAATATTTTCTTATTATTTGTTTTTCTGTTAGACGTTTTTTTTATTAATTAAATGTTATAAATAGATTTTATATAAAATATGATATGTTATAAATAAATATTGTATAAAATATATTTATAAATTCTTTCAGTCATTGGATAAAGAGCTTTTACAATTTAATAAATTTTTGATTGCTGACCGTTGTATAAGTGACTCACCATTGATGAGGAAAATTTTTGAACTAGATGAAGAACTAGATTTTTCAAATGTAACAGTTATGAGTCCGCAACTTTGGCTTTACAGACAATCGGTATCAGTTGAAAGTCTAAAAGTTGCAGTTCAGCTAAAAGTAGCAGGTGGTGGTGCTAAAGACATATCGATTCTTGTGAAATTTTTAGAACAGGTGATTAACTTTTAAGTTTTAAATGTTTTAGACTTATAATTAAAATATTTATATTTAAGAAAAAAAATCAATTAAAAAAAAAAATTTCAAATATGTTAAAAAAAATATTTATAACTAAGATTTAGAAAAATAACTTAAAAAATATAAAAAATCCTCAAAAAACAATTTTATGACTTTTTTAAGTCATAAAAAAGCTAAGTCATAATAAAGTAAATTGAGTTTTTGTTTGAACTTTCTAAAGTGTTCAAAATTGTTTCAAGACTTTTTTATTTATAAAACTTTGGCATATAAAATTTGCCTAATAGTCACACACAAGCAGTGATGGCCTGAGGGAAGAAATGAAGTACATTAGAATAAAGGATAATTATTTTTTGAACAAAGCATATTTTGACAGTTATCAAGACAAAGTAAAGATTAATTAGAGTCATTTTTAAAAATAAATAAGACAGACAGTGCACCTAAAACAGTACTTAATAATAATAATAGTAATAATAATAACAATAATAATAATTAAAAAAAAAAAATTGTTTTATAAACACAATTATATAAACGAAGATATACATTAGATATATATATATATATATTTTTTGTTATTCACCTCCTCAAGGCCGAGAAGGCCACTACAGACGAGGAGGCTACTTAATAGTGGTTACAACCCTCTCTCAACTCTATAACTCCGAAACACGAACCTTGACGAACAAGGCCACTGCGCAGAGAAACAAGTTGAATGCGGTACTACCAGTGGTGTGGAACTCGGAACTCGGGCGTGGTGGGGAACTCGGAACCTCTCGCTTATGAAGCGAGTGTTTTACCACTACACCACTACCGCGTTGATACCACTAGACAAAAAACTTATTACTGGCGTTTCGATGAGAATCAGCATTTATAACTAGTTTATCCCATCAGACAAACGTCATCGCCATTTATGCTTTACCCCGCAACTTATGCCTATTTCATACTGCAATAAAAAAGTATTCCCTACAAATAGCCAAAACCCAACCATCCCTAACTTTGTAAAGCACCAATTTTTTTTTTTTTGATGATGTGATATTAAAAGTATAGATCTATTAAACAAACAAAAATAATTAGATAAATCACTTACCGTACCACCAAAAGAAAACATGAAAATGCAATAAATTAAAATACTAATAAATTTATAATAGACCAAATAGGTATTATTAGCATAAACAAGCCTAAGATAATCAAAAAGCAGTATACCTCATTAAAAAACATTTTAAATGGACAAAACAACAATAGCCTATAACAATAAACTCTAACGCTGTCATAGATACCTCATTCGAAATATGATAGCCATTCAAATCAAAGTGTAGGAAAATAAGCAACCTGCGAAACCCAAAATCATAACAATGATTGAATAATATATGATTGCAAAAAAAAAAAAAAAAAAAAAGTCGCAAAAAAAACTTAAAAATGTAACCGGCTTAAATGTAAACATTTAATGAACGATATAAAAAAATTCTCTGAATAATAATAAAAGATGAAAATTGTGCATGTGAAAATTAAAACAAAATTTAGTAATAAATGCAAGATAATATAACATAAAAATTCCTTGTCAACAGTAATAATATGAAAATCAGCAGATAAATAATGATATTTATGAATATTGCAATAAGACTAATTAAATACTGTAATAAAACCAGATAAAGTTAAGCCAAATGAGTGGTTAAAAAATAGTTGTGGGTAATATAACAATGATATAAGTTAAGATATAAAAACAATGTACGAAGCGGCAAAAAATAACTTTAAGACCATATCTAAATCAAAATATCCGAAAAGTAAAGTTTTCTCTATGGTCCAAATTAAATGAAATTTGAGACCATAACAAAATAACAAGGAAAAACATACATCATCAAAACATGTGAAAGCGGCTAGTTTATAAGAAACGCTCTTATATTTATATATGTATATATATATATATATATATATATATATATATATATATATATATATATATATATATATATATATATATATATTTATACATATATATATATATATATATATATATATATATATATATATATATATATATATATATATATATATATACATATATATATATATATATATATATATATATATATATATATATATATATATATATATATATATATATATATATACAGGGCTTAATTTAATTTTTTATAAGGTCCTGGACAAAATGTCTGACCAAAAGTTATTTTGGTCGGACATTGTCCGATCAAATTTTTGAAATAAAATTTAAACAAATAGTTTTCACCAATCTTTACATATATTCATATTTGTTTATTTAAAAGGAACACAGGAAAAGTTCTTTAAATGCCGAGAGTAAAAAAGTACTGCAGATGGGTTTTTTTTAGACTAGTTTTTGGCGTATCTGAGTTTTACGGAACCCAATTATCCAATCGAAATATATGTTATGTTTTCCCAGTTTATTTTATTTTAGGCTAGTGAAGTTGTAGTTTTTTTTTTTAATATTCAGAATTTTTATCATCGTAGATCTTTGTATTTTAAATGAAATAGTTTAAATTCAATACTGCGCATTTTTTTAGATAGACTAGATTTTTTTAGATAGAAGTTTTATTGAGTTTTTTTCTCTTGAAAACCTTGTTAGTTTACACTGAATTGCATTACCAGTTTATAAAGGTTATGTAAATTTTTTTACTTAAAAAAATATAATATGCTAAGTGTCAATTTTGCGCATAAGCTCTACTTTTAGCGCCAAAAAGGTTTTTATATGGCATTCATGTAACTATTTTTATCAATAATAAAAACGGCAAGAAAACAAGTTTGTTATAGTAATATAGTATAATAATGTCTTTAATATATTAAGTATTAATATAAACATATTATTTTTAAACTTGATACAAAAAATTTAAACTTCGCTTTTACTTATTTAATGGGGGTTAAATCAAACGAAATATTATATTTACAGGCTATTATTCCCACCTGCCTGTAACCACTTTTTAGTTTTGCAATTTGACCCCGGCCATTGTCATACATCATTGGATTCGTTACAATGAGCAGAATAAGGTTTAATATGTCACCGAAATCATAAAATTCCTTTTAGCAAAATATTTATGTTTTAGGGGCTAAAAGGGTCCAATTTGGAATTTTCCCCCAAAATTCAGGGGGGAATACATTAACATGAAAATTTGATACTTTCATGATAATTTATCATCATCATCATCATTTTAGCATCCTTGTTTCCGTGCTTGCACGAGTTGGACGTTTTTCATAATGCCATTTCTCCAAGATACACGGTCTTGAACATCTTCTTTATATATATATTTATTTATATATATGTATACGTATATATATATGTATATATATGTATATATATATATATATATATATATATATATATATATATAAATATATATAAATATATATATATATATATATATATATATATATATATATATATATATATATATATATATATATATATATATATAAGTATATATATATATATATATATATATATATATATATATATATATATATATATATATATATATATATATATATATATATATATATATATATATATATATATAAGTATATATATATATATATATATATATATATATATATACATATATATATATATATATATATATATATATATATATATATATATATATATATATATATATATATATATATATATATATATATATATATATATATATATACAGGGTGGCCCATAAGTCACTTTACATTTTAAAAATTAAATAACTTTTTTTCTATTAATTTATTTCTATTTCTCTTTTTAGAATTAAAAAAATATAATTTTTGGAAATTTTTAGTATGGATACGTTTACAATAGAACAACGAGTGAAGATAAGTGAATTTTACTTTGAAAATGAACGGTCAATTGTTGCAACGCAAAGATCGTATATGCGCCATTTTAATGTTCGACATCTCCCTAGTAGGCCTGCAATGATGAACTTAGTGACGCCTTTTTAAGAGCATGGCTCTGTAAGTGATAGGACTAAAAGTGGACGAGGTCGTTCAGTACGTACATGTGAAAATACTGAAGCTGTGAGCCGTAGCATTGAAGAGAACCCAACCACATCCACTCAAAGGCGTTCTCAAGAACTTGGCATTTCACGGAGTTCTCTGCAGCGCATTCAAAGAGACTTGCACATGTACCCTTACAAGATTCAATTAGTGCAATCTTTACAACCACTAGATTTTCAGAAACGACTAAATTATGCTGTCAGGTTTCAGAGAACTGCAAGAAATGACAATGAGTTTATTCACAAGTTGATCATGGGAGATGAAGCTCATTTCCATTTGAACGGACATGTGAATAAGCAGAATATGAGATTTTGGGGCACCGAAAATCCACACCAAGGTCATGTGAGTCCATTACACTCAGTTAAAGTCACAACATGGTGTGGAGTAACATCAGAAAAGGTTATTGTGCCCTTCTTCTTTGAAGATGTAAATGAAAATGCTGTGACTGTAACTGCTGAGAAATATCAAGACATGCTAGCGAATTTTGTTCAACCTCAGTTAGCAAACATGTCAGGGTATTAGTGGCAACAAGATGGAGCAACTGCACATACCGCTAGAGCCACAATGCAGTTGTTAACTGCAATGTTTCAGGATCAGATAATCTCTCTTAAATTCGATTTTGAATGGCCTCCACGTTCTCCTGATTTGACAGCACCAGACTTTTGGCTTTGAGGATATCTTAAAGACAAAGTGTAATAATAATAAGCCCCAAACTATTCAAGATCTTAAGGCAAACATACGACAGGAATTTTTTTTCCTACAACCTCAGATGTTAAGAAGTGTTGTGGAGAATAGCTTAAAAAGAGCTCGACATTGTGAAGATGAGAATGGAGGCTATTTAAGAGACATTATCTTTCGTAACTAAGTCAGAACTAACTTACAGATTCTAAACTTTGTAATAAAAAAAGAATTAATTAAATACAGTTGTTTAATAAAAAGTTATTTAATTTTTAAAATGTAAAGTGACTTATGGG